GAGGGGTCGTTAAAGATTCTATGACTACAAAAAGAACGTGAATCCAAACAGAGATGGTTTGAAGGCTGGTTTAATAAAAGCCCCTGGTTAACTACCTTAGTATCCACCCTAATAGGTCCCCTGGTAATTCTTCTCCTTCTTTTAACTTTTGGACCATGCATCCTCAATAGACTGCTACAATTTATCAGAGACCGATTATCAGTAACTCAGGCTCTGGTTCTTACTCAGCAATACCATGCTTCAAAAGAAACAGAAGATCTATAGATTTTAGGATTAAAATCTTACTATAAGAAAAGGGGGTTGATGGATCCAAAGCCCCCAGAATAATGGATTTAAACTAAAATCCCCCAGGCCTGAGAAAAACTGTACAAGGAAGTAAAAATGAAAAATAATTCTGAATGCTAAGAACAAGCTGAGGTGACCTTTTTCATGCTCCTCTGCCCAAGCTGGAAATCATCCCAGAAATTCCCCCTACCTCTGCTTGGCACATAGCCGCCGCTTGTCTTTAAAAGAAACCTGTGAACTGGGCTCTGGACTTCTGTCCTCCGAGTGAGGTGGGAGTCCGTTTTGCAAAACGCCAATAAATCCTCATGCTTGTTGCATCTCCTGATTTGAGGACTGAGTTATTGGGGTGTGACCTCCCGTGAACGTTGGGTACCCCAGTCTAGGAGTCCAACAGCTGGGGCTACAGGGAGACCCTGGTTCAAAAAGACCAAAAAAAATCTTTTAAGGATTAGATAAGAGCTCCCAATACTTTCGACATTTTTGGCCTTAGGAACAGAGTAACAGAGTATGTTACTAAGAGGCCCAAGGACATTTTGACTTTTAGCCAAGAAACTGGCTACTTTTCTTTGGGGTCTTTTTACCCTAACTACCTAGCCAGTTCCTATCTCCTATTCTTATTACACCATCCTCTGAAAGGGTTACCCAAATTGCCAATAGGGAATAGGGACGCAGAGCACTCTGGCTTCTTCCATGCTGAACAGGGATGCAGGGTGAGGCAATTGGAGTACCCCTTCAGTGGGTCTATCTAAAAGACTCCCAAATTGCATAACTCTTATCTCTAGGGGGAAAAGAAAGTGCTTGAATAGGAGATGTGAAGGAGAAGTAAAGGCAAGAGTAGTTAGCATTACTAGTTCTAGACAGGGAACCAGCAAGAAGTCAGAACAAGGCAAATTTCAAATGTTCATATCAGAGCCCATTGGGATTTCTTGATGAGAAGGACAAGATTATTTTGACTGATGATTTCAGAAAGATTTCAGCCCATTGTGACTGGGGAACCATGGTGGCAGGAGCGTGAGGCAGCTGCTTGTTCATATCACAGCAGACAGGAAGCAGAGGCCATCGCTGGAACCTGGGTCCAGCATGACCTTCAAAATCCTCATGCCAGAGACTTATATCCCCCAGTCAAGCCGTACCTTCTCCAGGCTCTGCAACCTTCAAGATAGTCCCACAAAACTAGGGACTGAGCATTCAAAACATAAGCCTGTAAGAGACATTCCAGATTCAAACCATAACACCAGAGAAGGAGCCATAGCCCAGAAGAGGCAGTGTAGAAGACAGCGGTGGGAAGGGAGGTTCAGGGAGGAAAGTGTCTATGACCCAGTGCTGGCACTTACAGATGTGGTAAAGCCAGTTATTCACTAGGCCTTTGATCTACCAACCACAACCAGAACTCTTCCCATGCCTATAACCCAATAATTTTGTCTTATTTGTGTGTGTGTGTGTGTGTGTGTGTGTGTGTGTGTGTGTGTTGGTTGCACATGTGCTGTGTTGTATGTATGTGGCGGTCAAAGGACAGCTTGCAAGAATTGGTCCTTGGGCTGGAGAGATGACTCAGTGGTTAAGAACACTGGCTGCTCTTGCAGAAAACCCAGGTTAGAATCCCAGCACCCACACGGCAGCTAACAACCATTTGTAACTCCAGTTCCAGAGGATCAAATACTCTCTTCTGACCTCAGGCATTGTACAACATGGATGCACTTACATACATGCAGACATAACACTCATACATATAAAATAAATAAATTGAGCCAGGCATGGTGGTGCGCGCCTTTAATCCCAGCACTCGGGAGGCAGAGGCAGGTGGATCTCTATGAGTTGAAGGCCAGCCTGGTCTACATAGTAAGTTCCAGGACAGTTGGGGCTACAGGGAGACCCTGTCTCAAAAAGACCAAAAAAAAATAAAATAAAATAAAATAAAATAAAAAATAACAAAAGAATCAGTCCTCTTATTTCACCAGGTGGGTCCTGGGGCTAGAGCTCAGATCACCAGGCTTGGAGGCAAGCACCCTTACCTCCTACGCCATCTTTCCAGTCTGTAAATCTACCCACTAGGGACAAGAACTGAAGAGCTTGAGGACTGAAGCCGGATGGGATTCAAATCCCAAAGTCAGTGCATACTCGAGTGACCTTGAAGAAGCTGTTTACTCCCCCACTAAGGCTTGGCTTCCCCAGGAGAGAAGAGGGTGTAGAAGTAAATCTCGGTCTCCCTGGGGAAGCTGTGGTCCCTGGCAGATCTAATGTTTGCTCCTCCTCTAACCCCTGAAGAGCAAGCACTAAGCATTGGCTGGCAACCAGGGGGAGCACATACACCACTGATGGAAACTTCCACTCCAACCTTGGTGCTAGGATAAAACCAGTGCATGTTAAGCAAGTGCCCTAACAGCCACATCCCCGGCCCCCAGCACCTTCTTAGCATTGTAGATTTATCTGAGTCAGTGTTCTCTCTGCCCCGTCCAGCCCAGTTGAACAAGCAGAAAATAATACAGTTACAGATAGATCAGTGTTAAAAAGATTAACTCCAAGACAGGGCATGGTAGTGCATGCCTTTAGTCCTGGCCCTCCAGAGGCAGAGGCTGGCAGATCTCTGTGAGACCAAAGCCATCCTGGTCTCAACAGGCCAGCTGGGGCTTCAGGGAGACCTTGTCTCTCAAAAAGACAAAATAAAATAAAATAAAATAAAATAAAATAAAATAAAATAAAATAAAACTCCAGCACCAAGGACAGCCAGACCTAGATGCTGCTGAGGCCCTGGCCTCACTTATTCCTCCCCATTGCTGGGGAAATGGGCTCCTGAAGAAAGGAGCTAAATTGGTGTCCTGAGGAACAAATGGATGGGGGGGGCATAATATAAACATGTGCCTAGTACAACAAAGGTCTGTAATCCTAGCTCTTTGGGTCTTTGGGAGGCTGAGGCAGGAGGATCTGGAGCTGGAGGCCAGCCTAGACTACACAGCATGCCAGTACCTCAAAACAAACAACAAAAACAAAACACCTATTCTAACTCAATATTATATCCCCTGCCATTCCCCAAAGTCGCATCATCACAACTCCTCACGGTCCTGCAGCTGCACCTACATCTACGTACACACCTCCATGCTAAGCAAGACACCTTTCTCTTCCTATGTACCTTCAGTCCTGGCTACAAATTATCCCCTAGATTCAGCCCACCAGGTCAGCCACTTGGTTAGCAAGACCCCCAGGACTCTTGCTCTACAAGTGCCTGTGACATCACCTGCTGCCTACAACCTCCTGTGACCTCACCACCTGGACAAGTGAGCCTAGCAGAGCCTAGCCACTCCTTCCCAATCACCATAAGAAGCAGGGGGCATAGATGACCCCTGAGCCCTCGGAAGAGGCTGAAGCCACCAGCAGCCCCATACAAGGCCCTCCCGAGGCCTCCTCAGGGAATGAAGCTGACAGCGACTCTGTAGACAGCTTGCCTGAGGAGTCCCAAAGTCCAGATCCCCTGCCTGCTGATATCCTGGCAGCAGACATCACTGCAGGACCCACTCAACAGCAGGACATAGAGCAGGCCATTGTGGAGACAACCACCTCCACAGGGCAGGATGGAGACCAGGCCTCCATGCAAACAGCCACTTCCATGGGGCAAAATGGAGACCAGGCCTCTGTAGAGACAGTCACCTCGGTGGGGCAGGATGAAGACCAGGCCTCTGCAGAGACAGCCACCTCCATGGCCATGTCAATATCTGGGGACAAAGATGAGAGCCCAGATGCTCCAAGTCATACCCAAGAGAATCCTGAAGAGATCACATTTCTGTTGGCCCAAGACCCAGGTACCCTGCAAGCATTTGTGGGCTTCCAGAACCCAGTATGGGACAGGCTGGCTGGAAACACATGGACCAATCGGAGCCATACAGTTTCCTTAAGCAATTCCCAGAACCAGAATGACATGCCACAAAAACCGAGTAATCCCAAAGGGCAGCCAGAAACAGTTCCACCTGCTCCAAATTCCAAGATTCCATCTGCCCCACCTGAGGAGATCCAGCTCTCTGTGGAAGCTGCCGACCCAACCCCACCTTTCTTCAGCCCTCCAGCAGGCAACGCCCCTCCCTCTCCAGATTCCTACCAGATGTCCCTAGGTAGGAACCTTCTGGACATCAACCTATACAGGCCCAATGTGGAGAATGACTATAGGTGCTCCATGACTAGCCTGCTGGGTCGTGGCAAGGGCTCCATCAGCTCACTGGCAGACATCTTGGTGTGGTCGGACTCTGCCATGGGCATGGGCATGGCTGTGGGCTTTCTGATCTCAGGCCGTAGCTCTCCAGCAGACATGCTACAAGACGAGGGGCCCAGCCTGCGCACTGTCGCCAGCCTTTTGGGCAGTGCCAGGTCAGCTCTCTCCTCTGGACTGGCAGCTGGAACTGGTTCTGCCTTGCGTTCAGTCACATATCTACTGGAGTCCATGGAGAGACAAATTTTGGGAGGTATTCGTTCATCTATGCGCTACCTGACCAACCACTTCACTCCTTGCTGAGCCGGCACTGATCCTGACGGTGACTAGCCCGGCATGCCCCCTGCTTCCTCACCCACCCCTGCTCTAAAAAACTCCCCCTACCCATCAATAAATTATCACAAGCGTTTATTTTCTAAGCTCTGCCCTTATCCATGCAGTGGGGCAACAAGGTGAAAGGACAGGAGGGGCCCAGTATATTCTAGAAAAAGAATGTTCTTAGTTATTCCATCAGGGACTGGAAGCATAAGTACAGAGAGAGAAGAAGTGGGCTCGGATAGGGCTGAGGACAGAGTAGCGGGGAGGTCTCAGATCTGCAAAAACCAGCTGGACTTCCAGGAGTAACCTGAGGACATGTAAATGCCTGTCCGTCAGCTCCAGGTCCAGTGTACTTTCTTGGGGTTTGGGGAGGCAGTAGAGGATGTTGGGGTGGGTTGGGCCCCACAAGGGGCACCCACACACCTGTGACCTATGCATTCCTCTTGGAGATTGGAATCAGACTTCCTGGGCCTCCTCTTGCCCTGGGCAGCCACCTCACTCCCTGGCCTCCCTCTGCTCAGCTTGGACTGGAGAAAAGAAATCCACTACTGCACACAAACACTCACACAAATGCTAGCAGATATAGACACACAAATCAGCCCTATGTAGTACACCATGGGATAGGGCTCCAGGCAGTGACCAGCCATCTCTCAGAGTAAGGGAGGATCTTGGATGGATATAAGGCCTTCAGGTTTCAAACTGACTAGCCAAGATGGCTGCCCCTTTTTGGCTCAGGTTTCTCCATGGCGTTTACTTTGGTTGTGACATTCATATCTTGGAAAGTATGTGCATGGGCAGGACTCGTACTTGCCAAGAGTCATATGTGTTGCAAGCCAGCAGCTACCCTCTGGCAAGAACCAGTACTAATTCTTGGGGTGTGAACTGGTAAGTGAAGACCCAGCTGGGCACCAGCACAATCCTGCCCTCAGGCACAGCCTCACACCTTCAGCCTAGCCAAGGACCATTCATTCACCCATCCACCTTCCTGCCAGAGTCTTCCCATGGAGCCCTGGATGAAACCAGCCAACCGATAGACTTGTTTGACTTAGAGTCTTTTTTGAAGCATTAATTGCTCACATTTTAAGGATAGAATTAACTGGGGTCTAGAGAGATGGCTCAGCAATTAAGAGCACTGGCTGTTCTTGCAGAAGACATGGGTTCAAATCCCAGCACTCACAGGGCGGCTAACAACCATATGTAACTCCAGTACCGGGGGATCTGTCGCCCTCTTCTGTTCCCTGAGGGTATGGCACAACACAGCTGCACTTACACACATGCAGGCATAACACTCATACACATAAAATAAATCATCAGGGCTGAAGAGATGGCTCAGTGGAGAATACTGACTGTTCTTGCAGAAGACCCAGGTTTGAATCTCAGCACCCACATGGCAGCTAACAACTGTCCATAACTCCAGTTCCAGGAGATCTGACAACCTATTCTGTCCTGCACAGGCATTGCATGACACAGGTGCACTTACCTACATGCAGGCATAACACTCACATACATAAAAACAATAAATGTGCCGGGCATGGTGGCGCACGCCTGTAGTCCTAGCACTTGGGAGGCAGAGGCAGGCAGTTCTCTGTGAGCTCAAGGCCAGCCTGGTCTACATAGTGAGCTCCAGGACAGCTTGGGGGCTACAGGAAGACCCTGTCTCAAAAAGACCAAAATAATAATAATTTTTAAAAAATTAAAATCAAAAAATTTAAATAGAATTTACATAAAAACCAGGATGTTGAGCCAGGCATGGTAGCCCATGCTGTAGTCCCAGCACTTGGGAGGCAGAGGCAAGCGGATCTGTGTGAATTCCAGGCCAGCCTGGTCTACATAGCAAGTTCCAGGACAGCTGGGGCTACAGGGAAACCTTGTCTCAAAAAGACCCCCCCCCCCAAAAAAAATCAGGATTTCTGCTTCTCTGAAAAAAATCTAGGCCCCTCATTTCTTCAGAGCCCAGGCAGCTAACCTTTGGGCATACATGTGCCCACTGTCTATCCTGACCTTTGACAGTGAGGGATGTTCCAGATGGTCCCCAGAGGCAACCTCTGCCACTTCTACCTTGCAGATAGCTCATGGAAGTGTGACTCCAAGCCCCAAGAGGAAGGCACAGGAACCCAGGTGTGTGTGTGTCCCTTTCCCTCAGGGAGCTTCCACCTCCTGGAGGTGCAGCAGGAACTGTCCCCACATCATGAAAACAAGGGATTCAGATGAGCAAGACTGTTCATTTAGATCCCAATGAGGGGAATTCCCAGAAGAGCAACTGAGTCAGACCATAAGAGCAGGAAATGGCGTCTCCCAGACAGAAATGAGTTGAGGGAAATGAGACAGGTGGTTGGGCGGAAAGGGTAAGTGGCGCCATGCCAGGCAGCTGAAACTCTCAGCAGAGAGCAATAAAGATGCAAGGTAGCCCACAAGGTGTTCATTCATGCTTTCAACAAATAGTTTTTGAACAGCTACTATGAGGCTGACCCTGTGTAGCCTAGAAACGACTTATTCCTCTGAAGAGCTACAGGCGAGTACAGGGCACCCTGGGAAGAAGGGTGGTGCCTAGGGCAGCAGGAGATTGAGCCTGGGGCCTTGGGAGGGAGCCTCCCAAGAAGGAAAAATGGAAAAAAAATTAGTGTTACACTGTGCTACTCACTGAAACCACAAAGGTGATCTGGACTGAAGGGGACCTAAACTAAACTGAAGTCAGCATGTATACAGGAATTAGAGAGAGACATAGTTCCCAAGTGTGGGCATGGCTGTCTTTGGCTCCACCCCCTTCTAGAAAAGAATACCTGTTCCCACTGGTTCTCAAAGGCCAGTCCCAGGAGAGGGTGGTTTGGTGCCCAGGTCCTCAGTAGATGAATTACAGAGACCACAAGGTTGAAATGCCTGTTCCCTGAACTGGGCCACAGACAGCCCAGAATCAGAGGGTTTCCACAGCACAGCTGGATCCACTGTAGACCAGTCGTGTTTCTATCATTTTCTGATGCCTCAGTTTTCTCCCCTGTAAAGGGATAGTAACAGTACCTACTTGCACGGGACTGCCATGAATGATGGGTCTAAGGCAAGCGGTTGAGTCTAGTGCTCATAGTGACTCGTTACGGAGCTGAGGAGTGGGTGCCAAGGACAGGTGCTATTCTGTTGTGAGGAGAGGGCAGCTATGTGTTATTAGTCATTTCAGTTAGGCCTTCAGTGTTAGAACAGCAAAGACTCAGCAGAGAAGCATGATCATGGCTTGCAAGACGGGTAGCTATGGGGGTTTCTTCACAGAGAAATGGTTGGGGCCCAGGAAACTTAGGGCCATGGTGAAGAGAGACAAAGCAAAAGGAAAGGAGACATCACAGAACAAGTGGATTGAGAGGCCAGAGAAAAGCCAGTCCCGGGGCTGGAGAGATGGCTCATGGTTAAAAGTACTGTCTGCTCTTGCAGAAGACCTGAGTTTGATTCCAGCACCCACATGGCAGCTAACAACTGTCCATAACTCCAGTTACAGGAGAATTCAATACTCTCTTCTGACCTCTACGGGCACTGCATGACATGGGTGTACTTACATACATACAGGCAATACACTTATACACATAAAAATAAAAATAATAAAGTATTTTTTAAGTCAGTCCCAAGTCCCTAGTGATTTGAGTAGTTATGAGCCTGTGGTGTCCCTGCCTTGGGCAGTCAGTTCTCTCCTCCTACCATGTGAGCCCCAGGAATTGAACTCAGGTTGTCAGGCTTGGAGGCAAGCACCTTTATCTACTGAGCCATCTTGCTGATCCCTAGGCTGGCTTCAAACTTGCAGTAATTCTCCTGCTTCCACCTCCCAAGTTCTGGGATTCAGAAACACGCCAGTATACCTGAGAAGATATTCCTTTCTTGAAAATTCATTAGTATTGTGTGTGTATGTGAGTGTGATCACATGCCACCCCACACTTGTAGAAGTCAAAGGACAAATTTTGGGAGTGGTCTTCTGGCTTTTACACACACACTGTGCTGAATAGCTTTAGTGTCAACACACCTGGGTTGAGGGAGCCTCAATCAGGGAATTGCCTCTATTGGACTGGCCTGTGGCTATGTCTGAAGGGCATCTTCTTGATGAGTGATGTGGGAGGGCCCAGACCACTGTGGGTGGTGCCACCCTTGGGCAGGTGGGCCTGTGTTGCATAAGAAAGCAGGCTGAGCAGGGGCCAAGGGAGCAAGCCAGTAAGCAGTGTTCCTCCATGGCCTGTGCTCCAGCTCCTGCCTCCAGGTTCCTCCCCTGAGTTCCTACTTTGGGCTCCCTGAAGAACTATAACCTGGGAGATGTAAGCTGAATAAACCCTTTCCTCCCCAAGTACGTAGTGGTCAGAGTGTTTTGTCACAGCAATGAAGAAACAAACTAGGACACACACACAAAAAAAACACACACACAATAAGTTATAAATATAAGTGTAATAAAACAAACAAAAAGACTATAGGGACTGGAAAGATGACTCAGCAGTTAAGAGCATTGGCTGTGGGTGCCACGTAGCAGTTAACAACCATCTATAACTCCAGTACCAGGAATCTGATGCCCTCTTCTGACCTCTGTGGGTACTAAGCATGAACATGGTGTACTTATATACAAGCAGGCAAAATACTCATACACATAAAATAAAAATAGGGACTAGAGAGATGGCTCAGAGGTTAAGAGCACTGGCTGCTCTTGCAGAGGACCACTATGCACCCACATAGTGGATAACAGCCATCCATAACTCCAGTTGCAGGGGCTCCAACACCCTCTTCTGACCTCCTTGGGGACTGCATGACATGGGTGCACTTACACACATGCAGGCAATCATTCATACACATAAAATAAAATATTTTAAAATAAATAAATCTTTTTTAATTAATATAAAAATACATCTCTAATTATAACAAAAGAGTGCATCTCTCCAGGTGAAGGGAAGCCGTATTTTTTTTTCTCTTGGTCTTTTTGAGACAGGGTTTCCCTGTAGCCCCAGCTGGCCTGGAACTCACTATGTAGA